AATTACAAAGGTAGTTTTGTTTCCCCCTCATCTTTTTGGGATGTTTTTGTTGGGACATGTAATTGTACTCTTTCATGAGCATATATTATACATTTATTCCCTCGGTCGACATGAGATTTTGTTTTTTTTTTTTTTTGAAATTTCTTGATCTAATTTTTATAATTAGGATGTTATATTATTGGAAAAAGTATATATAAGGTTGCAACCTTAAATGTAGAACTAAAGTTGCACCTCAAAAATCGTTTATAAAATTAACCGGCATATGTAGAAATGCGGGCCTCCTAATAAACCTAGTTTTGAGATGGATTTCAAGACTTAATTTTTAAGGGCATGTGATCTCTAACATGAAGATCATGAATATGAAAAAATAAATAAATTTTAAAACCTAAAATTAATAATTCTAGCATGAAAACATTTGGGTTGTTAGTTTCTATTGTTTTTAGATGGAACACCTACTTGCATCCATCTTTAGGATGGATGTTTCACACTTTTTGGACCGCATATATAGAAATGTGGTTCAGCCTGCATGAAACAAAATTTTCCCTCTAATTGATCTTATCGACATCAAGATGTATGACTATGAAAGAAGAAAAATATTTCGAGTCCACGAAATAATGTACCTTGCAACACATTATCTGGACTGTCCATTTTCAAGATTTTTATGTGTTTGTAGATCTACTTGATTTGAACTATTTTTAGAGTTTAAAATTCTATAACTAGAGATGAAAATAGATTCTCAAGCTATCCTAAGAATTTTTTATGTCAAAATTACATTTATGATAAAATTTAGAGGTGCGCTTTAATTGGATTGTTTAAAGTTGCAACCTTATACAAACTACACCCTATATTATTATAACATTTATCTTTATCACAAAGAGGTTAAATTACTCATAGTCATTAGATGTTAAATTGGATGGCTTGGAGTATGTCACAAAGTTCGAGAATTTTCTTCTTATTTTTTTAAACTTTAAGTTTAGTAAGCAATATGTTTAAAACCACTTGAGAGTTAAAATCTAAAGAACAAGAGTGACTGTAACCTCCTTGTGCTAAAAGTAAATTATTTCATTGTATACTTTTCTTTTAGGGGAAATTACAAAAAAACCCCAAGACTACGCTTTCTATGCAACTTACCCCCAACCTAACTTATTCTCACTTTTTTCCCCAAAACAAACTTTCTATGCAAATATCCCGAAGGGAAAAAGTTCATTTCTTTTAACGGAAATGCCTTTCCTGTACAAAAAAATCAATTTGGCCAGATTTGACGTTGACTATCGACCCCAGTAGCACATTGCCGGAGCAGACCATCGCATTGCCGGACCGAAATTGAATACTGTCGGATCGCCCTTTATAACTGTCGGAGCCCAGTGACTCAGAAGTTCTACTACCGGATCACCTTTTGCAATTGTCGGAGCGCTGTGACTCCAGGACATGTACTGCCAGACCGCCCTTTGCAACTGTCGGTGCGTTGTGACTCCAGAACATATACTGTCGAACCGCACTTTACAACTGCTAGAGCGCTATGATTCCAAAACATGTACTACTTGACTACGCTTTACAACTGCCAGAGCGTTGTGACTCCAGTACATGTACTACCAGACCGCCCTTTACAACGGTCGGAGCATTGTGACTCACGAAAGTTGTACTGCCAGTCCAACCTTTGCAACTGCCAACGTGCTGTGACTCCAGAACATGTATTATTGAACCACCCTTTTCAATTGCTGGAGCCCAATGACTCCGAAGTTTTACTGCCAGACCGCCCTTTGCAACTGTTGGAGCGTTGTGACTCCAGAAAATGTATTGTCGGACCGCACTTTGAAATTTTTGAAGCGATGTGACTCCAGAACATGTACTGTCAGACCGCCTTTTGCAACTGCTGGAGCGCTGTGACTCCAGGACATGTACTGTCGGACCTCCCTTTTCAACTACTGAAGCGTTGTGACTCCAGAACATGTACTATCAGACTGCCCTTTGCAATTGTCAGAGCGCTGTGACTCAGAAGTTTTACTGTTGGATTGTCTTTTGCAACTGCCATAGCGTTGTGATTCCAAAACATGTACTGTCGGACCGCCCTTTGCCACTGATGGAGCCCATTGACTCAAAAGTTCTACTGCCAGACCGTGCTTTGCAACTGCTGGAATAATGTGACTCCAAAACATGTACTACTGGAGCACTGTGACTCTAGAACATGTATTGCCGGACCGCACTTACACAGTGCCGAAGCACTGTGATTCCAGAAACTCTTTCTTCTGGACCACCCTCATAGATTACCAGACCCTTTTCTCTCTCTGTCCCTCAATCTTTTTTTTTGTTTTTGCTTTTGGGTGGTGTTACATGTTAGCTAATAATAAGAAGAACTGGAGTTACGTGTTGCTTTTAGGTGGTGGTGACATTGTTTTTAAGTGGTGACATTGTTTTTAAGTGCCAGATGGATTTGATGTTGTTTTTAAGTGCCAGATGGATTTGATGTCAGCTTCTTTTTCACATTCCAGCTTCTTCATCATTTCTATTTGAGGAAGGAATAGATTTAACCATAACAATTTTTCATCGATTACTACATTTGATTGGAGTTCTCCATAGAAAATACACTAAATCAATTTGTTATCACTCATTTTCTTTTGTCTTGCACAAGATTTGTAATAATTTACACTCCACACATTGAACTTGCCCAAGTTTGGTAGGCTCAACTAGGTCTTTTCAAAAGAGCTACAACTAAATTTTAACAAGAGGTATGTAGGCATATTGTTGGTGGTATATAACCTAAAAAAACATTTCTAACAATGCTTATCTGAAATTGCACTCGTAACAATTTCACCCTGTTAATGTCTAGATTTTTTAGTAAATTATGAAAAATAGTATTGAAATAAAGAGCCTCAAAAGAGGACCCAACTTTTAAGATGAACATGCAATTCAATATTTCTACAAAGTAAGAACTAGTTCATATCCAAGTTAAACTAGCACAATGCCTTTCTTTTGCGAAATGAAACAAAACTAAATGACTTTGTAGACCTGAATTCGAATGCATTTGAAATTGGATAAAAACCTTATCCTAAATTTCTAGTATATAAATAATACTATTTATCTAAGCTATAGCTAAGCAATACCATTTCTCTAAGCTAAAGTTCAATCTAACAATGTAGATAAGCACAATATATACAACTAGCAATATAGACATTCCTAAAGTCAGTTTTTTGGGTTTGTCTTTTGTTTTAAAGAACTACTACTAAAATTAGCAAGAGCTAGGCATTTTTTTTTTTTTAATGATAAACTAAATTTGAACAAGAGAAAAAGGATGGATCATCAAATAAAAAACAATTGATGCAAAGATAACCATGAGAAAATAGATACAGTAAAATAAACCCAAAATTTACTACAACCAAGAACATTCAAGCCCTAAAATCACAATAGAGAAACAATGACACACTCCATAACAATTTAATAAGAAAAACTACAATAATTCTTAAGCCATGAGCAATCAATTGAGATCAAATAACTGAATGATTTTCAATCTAAAAAGAACCCAAAATTTCCTACCACCAAGGACATTCTAGCCTAAAAATGACAATAGAAAATAGAGAAAAAAAACCAAACTCCATAACAAATTCAAAAGGAAAATTTCAATAATTCTTATGCCATGAGCAATCAATTTAGATCAAACGATTGAATGATTTTCAATCTAAAAAAAACCCAAAATTTCCTACCACCAAGATCATTCTAACCCTAAAATGACAACAGAGAAAAAATGCCAAACTCCATAACAAATTCATAAGAAAAACTTCAATAATTCTTAAGTCAAGAGCAATCCATCTCTTCATTGTCAATGATAGATCAAATACAACAAATTTCAACAAACAATAACCCAACAACAGATTTTAGCGATTTTATTCCATAAATATGCTATATATTTATTTAATAAAAAATAGTTAAAAAACTCTTTCATACTTTTGATGGGGCTGATTTAGGGCAGAGAGATTGAGCTAAAAATCGTGCTTGGGCTTGGGCTGGGGCAAAGAAATTGAGAACTTGAGCCGTTTCACAAAGAGAGAGAGGGTGGGCCTTCAGTCCTTTGAAGAGGGAGAGGAAGAGAGCTCGGGCCGAGAGAGAGAGTGAGAGAGAGGGAGGTCTGGCCAGGAGAGAGAGCGAGAGACAGGGAAGAAGCTCGTTCTGAGAGTTAGAGAGAGGGTGAGAAAGAGGGAAACTTTCGTTAAAAAATTAAAAGTAAAAAGGAGGGTAGTTTAGGTATTTTTTTAATTTTTATTTGGTTGGGGTGTTTTTGCGTAGAAAGTATAATTTGGGGAACACAGTGAGAGAAAAGGTTACGTTAGGGGTAACTTGCATGGAAAGTGTGGTTTTGGGGTTTTTTTTTTTATAATTTTTTATTTTTTTTACAATGATATGACTATTTTAAAAGAAAAAAAATTTGAACTTTGAGTTATTCTATTTTCAAAAGAAAGAAATTGGCTTTTGAGTTATTGAACATCTAGATTACTTCTTCAAAAAATCTAGTGGTTCCAGTGCAATCTTGGGATGCTTTTTTTTAAGTTGGATACAATTGCTATGAATCCATGCAGAGATGAGTCACCTCTTAAAAATCTATTTTTTAGATTGATTTTTGGACTTAATTTTTAAAGATATGTTATGGAGATCATAGATATGAAAAATAAATAAATTTTAAAAATTAAAAATCATAATTCTATTAAAAAAATATTCGAACCGTTAGTTTTAATTATTTTTAGATGGACCACCTATTTGCATCCATCTTACCTTGGGGCTAGAAATCTGGTCCAGCTAGCATCAAACAATTTTAATTTTAAGCTAGATAGATAGTAGAGTTACAGAAATGCCATCCCATAATTCGGAATCTAAAAGACATCCCAATGTTAAGTTTAAGACATCCCAATGTTAAGTTTTGGAGGGAGTAGATAGATTGCAATACTCCCGTGGGAGTAGAAAAGTTTCTGACTTTGTTGTGTGTTAAACGTTCGTCTACCATCCGTCAAAGCACGCAAGCAGCCGTCGCAGTTTCCCGATTGCCCAACCTGAAAGTTATAGAGAGAGAGAGAGACGGCCCCCAATTCATCTCTGAAATTTAGAGAGAGAGAGAGAGAGAGAGGCGCCCAAATTCATCTCGCCCTTCAACGATGACAACCCGATACCGAATTGAATTGAAGACATGAAAGCTGATCTCTTTATAGCTAAAGAGCTTCTTCAGAGGGGGAAAAAAGAAAACCAGGCAAGAATTTGATAGGCATGGCAGGCTGGATCTCATCCAAACTCAAAGTAGCAGAGACATTTTTGCAACAGGCATGCATTGTGTCTTCTACAGTATCACATCACACAATTCTGATTTTCTCTATGGTCACACTGTTTTCACAATGGCTTTTCAGCATTTTCCTTTTTCATGATTAGTTTTGAAGTTCATTGCCAAAAGGAAACTTGGGGTTTTGAAATTGAATTGTGAATGGTATTTTTTACCAGATTTTTCAGATTTCTGTGGTTGAATGTGTAGATAATTAGGAATGAGAAGCGCGATTGACAGGCAATTAATTGTTTTGTTTCTCTTATGCTGTTCCAGATTGACCAGCAAGCGGCAGAATCGCTAGGCAAAAATGAGAAATCTCCATCCCATGAATCCATTGATGATGTTCTGAGAAGGGCTGAAACGGTGCCCTTAAAAGACCAACTCAAGAAGAAATCATCTGATACCCATTACAATTCTAATGTTAATCTCTTACCAAGAGCAAACCATGATCCAGGAAAGCAGCATTCTACCAGAAAGAAGCTTGAGAAGCCTGCAAGAAAACCCACTTCGAGGCCTTCACCGATCCTAACAGAGGCTGACTGGACCGAGCTCTTGGGTGCCCCTGAGCCTGTTTCTAACGGGATTCCTGGATCATATGGTTCAGAGGCAAAGAAGACTGCTACCCCTAAGCGCTCTCCTCCTGTCTTGAAGCAAGCAAGGGGATTGGGTTTTTCTCTGCCAAACGTAGTGAATGGAGACAGTGTTTCACCCCCTGGTGTCAGTAAACCTCAAGCCGTTACCCAATTGGGCGAGACATCAAAATTTCTTCTTAATGATGAAGATTTGGTTAAGAAAGAAGTGCCTTTGAATTTTACATCTGGGGCTTCTGTTTCAGCAGATTCTCTGCTTAGAAAGCTCGATGGTGACTCCAGTGTTTCACTTGGAGAGAGAAATGATGGCCTGGATGGTAATTCACCTGAAAGGGGCATATCTAATGGTCATTCAATTGCTAAAAATGAGCTCCATTCTGAGATTAATCATAAAATGGTTAGCTCAGATGAGAACAGTGATTTCAAATCCAGAAATGGACTGGATAGTGTATCAAAAGCAGATGAACCCAGCACTACCCGTAACTCAAGCATCGAAAAGAGTGAGGAAGTTTCCATGGTCATGAATGATCAAAGTGATTCAATTGGGGTTTCTTATGGAGATCAAACTGAACAGGTTTTGGGAGATACTAGCCGTGATTCATTGCCTCGACATGGCAGTGGCTCTTCTTCATACACACCTGCGGCCAAGTTGGTCCGAAGCCACATTAACTATTCAGAGAGTGAAGAGAGATCTGAATCTGAATCTGATTCAGATTCAACAGATTCTGAGGAGGATAGTCAGAGAAAGGCGGAGAGAAGGAGCAAAAGAGAAAAGATGATGGCAGAGGCTGCAGCGGCAAAGGCATTGGAAGCTATAAAGGAACGGGAGGACTTTGCGGCAAGATTAGAGGGTGAGAAGCAGAGCTTAGAGAAAATATTAGCAGAATGGGAAAAGCAGCAAGCACAAGAGGTCACACTTTCTACCTCTTCAATGTTTCTAATGCCTCTATACTATCAACCCATGTCTCCATGATTACGGTGATATTTCCCCCTCTGAACCTATGGTAGTTTAAATTGCTGAATGAGAACTGTTGTGTTATTCCATGAAAAAGTAAAGTGTTAGAATGTAAATTTTTTCTTTGGCTTTGTTGATGTAAGCTTGACTCTTCCTTGCTTATTATCTTTTAGGCTCATCTAGTTTTCAGAAAGGTGGATCTCTTTATTGTGCCTACCATTGAGTTTTATAGCAGGCATGTCTGCTGGTATTAGAATAGAGTGGATGAAATGAACAATGAAAAGAACTTCTTGCAACTCCTTCAGTTGAAAACATGAAATGATTATATTGAAAATCTGTATGTTATGAGTAGTTGTAGTTTGGAATTTAATAAGGTTAGAGGTGGAAACGCTTATGAAAGTTTTTGGCAAAGGGCAGTTGATTCTATGACCTTTGCTAGGATATTGGTGCCATTGAAGGAAAAATCAGGCAATCTAACTGGTAACCGCTAGGTTGGCCGGTTCCGATTGCGGCTGGTTTTGGTGACCGGCCAGGTATTTTTAAAAAAAATTAAAAAAAAATATAAAATCCCAAAAAATAAGGGATTTTGTTTGTAATGCATTTTTTAATGTCTTTCATCACTATGGCAAAGATTGGAAATTGTTTTGGTCATTAATACTTATTTTTACATTTTTCTTATCTTTTTTGGAAAACTTCAAAAATACCCTAGGCACAAATCGATTCTTTAAAATCCATTTTTTTTCATTAATTTTCAATTTCATTTGGATATGCTTTGTTAAATCATTCTTTGAATATACTTTTCATATTTTATTAGATTTTTTTTTTTTGTATTTATTTTTTTGAACACTTTTTTGACCGCTTGGGATTTGCTTGGTTAGAACGGTTGAATTGGGCGGTTTATTGGTTAGGCCGGCTGAACCACTTCTGGGTCCATGTTCGGTTAGTCGTTTTGGTTCGATTTTTCCTACACTGATTGGGGCACACCATGAAGCAGAAGTTTTGGTACTCAATAACGATATTGTTATATTAATATACTGATGTTTACTAAAATGTCTTTCTCCTTATGTCCTACTGATTGTTAGGTCTACAATTCTTCTTTGGATAAATTGAATTTCATTATTTCATATATATGATTTGGACTAAACCACATACACCAATGCACCCAAAGACACAAAAGAATAAGTGTAACTGGCTACAGTCTTCTTTGGGCCTAACAAAGAATAACAAAAGCCAAAGAGACCAACTGTCTAGCACAAAAGGAAAAAGGGAAGAGTAAAAACTAAAGTGACCTTCCGATTAACTGACCTACCTCTATATATCAATTATGTAAAGCACAAGAAAAAAACAAATGTAGATAATTATTAACATAAAATGAAATTAGTTTACACTCTCAAACGAAATGCAGCATAATACTACCCACATCTGATTATAAAATGCATGGTGACTGATTAGGTGCCTCGATCTCGCCCCCGGGTCGGGTTGAGGTGGTGGCGTGGTTCCAGATTCAAGATAGACTCCGGATCTGAAATCGCTCTCTTGAGAACCGTGCAAAGAAGACATGGGCAAGAGTACCAATCGGTGAGAGAGGAATTAAGGCCGTGAGGTGGGACTTACCTCACGTGGTTGCGTGACACAATCGGGCTGGCTCACATGGGCGCCTTCTTAGATCACGTTGGAATGCCCCCTTGGCCTGTGGCCGGTTTGGAATCGCCTCCTTTGATCTGTTTTCTCCTTTTCTGTAAACACACACACATTAAAAGTACAGACGAGTGTGGCATATGTCCTCACCTTGTTATAGGGCGAACACACACGTGTTTGTGTACTCAAGGAATAAACAGAAAATAACATAGGAGAATCCGTGTCAATTCGACAGCCTCACGGCATCTTCTTGACAAGGGACTCTAAGTACATATTTTACAAGAAAGAAATAGAAAGGGGGAAGATAGAGAGAAAGGAAGTGTTTGTCTTTGAAGGAGAGACGAAGAGGAATAAGAGAGAAGGCGAAGGTCAGCTTGACTCTCGCTAAACCTTCCAAAGGGGAGAAGAAACGAAGAAGAATGAGAGAAGAGAAGAGAAGAAAAGAGAAGAAAAGAGATAAGAGAAGTGAAAGTGAGAGCAGAAGTTTGACCGGGCGGCTAGGCTGGCACAGTGACTAGACTAGTATGGTGTTTGATTTGACGTGGTAGCAAGACGTGCACGGTACCTCAGACCGACGCGGAGGCTTAACTACTCAACGACAAAAACCAACACCGACCAGCCTGGCGCAACGGCTAGTCTGACGTGGCAGCTAGATGGGCACGGTGACTCAGATCGGCACGACGGCTAAACTACTCGACGACAAGACTTGCACGAGTACCAGGTTCAGCCTGCCCTCTAGTCAAACGATCAAAGGAGAGAAAGTGGGGAGGCGAAGATTAGCTTGACTCTCGCTAGGTCTTCCAAAAGAGATGAAAGCAAAATAAGAGTGATGAAAAATGAGATGAAAATAAGATAGATGAATTAAAATAAAATAAAACTAGAAAATGGAATTAGAATTAAATAAATTAAAATAGAATGAAGGAAGTAAAATAAATAAAATGAAATGGAGTAAAATAAAATAAAAGGGGTGGAAAAATAATAATAAAATAAGATGAGATAATGGATGGAATAGAGTAAAGTATGGTGGGATAAAGTAAGTGGAATAAAATAAATAAAATAACATAGGACAAGGGAAAATAAAATGAGTCAATGAAATAAAATAAAATGAAGGGAAGGGAATAAAATGAAAGGAAGGTGGTAGAAGAAGTAAAATGAGATGGTGGAATAAAATATAAAGAAAAATATATTAATTAAGAGAGAGTGGGTTTGCTTATTGGGTAGATTGGTTTAGAGAGAGAGGGCTTTTGTTGGGTTCTTTGGATGAGAGAGAGAGAGAGAGAGAATTGGGTATTGGGTTATTTGGATGAAAGGGTTGGATAAAAACAAAGGGAAGGGGCATGGACAAGATTAGCGAAAAGGAGAAAAGGGGCAACAGGAGGAATAAAGAGAGGGGCCTCTTATTGGGTTTTTATGTAAGAGGCTGGGATGAAAATGTGAGATAAAAAGGAAGAAAGAGAGTGAGGCTTAAACAAAATAGAGTGAAAGGAGGGGTGAACGCAACTTTGACGAAAACGAAACAATGAAAAGAAAACGAAGTGGGTTTTTTAGAGAGAGAAAAAAATGGGAGAGAATGGGAGGTGATTGGTGGGTGGTTAAGCGTCATGAGAGAGAGGGAAAAGGCGAGAGCGGGCTGTGAAGGAAGAGAATGGGGAAGGTGAGAGCAGGCTGTGAGTTGTAGACGATGGGGCAGCAGGGTAAGGCTGCAATGAAGTGGCCGAATTCACGGAGGATTAGGTGGCTTAGCAGCAGAGGTATGGGGCAGCAAGGTGGAGATAGCAGGTCACAGGGCAGTGATTAGCTCGGCAAGAGTAGAATGGCATGCAACGATGGTGGTGTGTGGGCTCGGCTGTGACGCACGACGGTGGTGGTGTGCGGGAGTTGTCGCGCATGGCGATAATGTAGAAGTCGTGCATGATGATAAGGTGGAAGTCGTGCACACCGATAAGGTGGAAGTAGTGCACGGTGATAATGTGAAAGTCGTGCACGACGATAAGGTAGAAGTCGTGCACGATGATAAGAAGAAAGGTATGGATGGACGTGAGGGAGCACAAATTGTGAGAGGGAAAAAGTGAATGTGAGGGCGCACAACAGGGGTGATGTGAGGGAACACAACAAAAAGAAAGGGGAGGCAGGTAGACATGAGGGACCATCAGAAAGAAAAGGAGAAGGTGGACCCGAGGGTGCACAGGGAGCAGGTGGACTTACAGGTTGCTTTCACCTGTATCTTCTTTTGACAAAATAAGATGGAAAGTGAGTGTATGTGAGGGAGCATGATGTTGAGGCAGACATGCAGGGAGCATAAGGAGTGAGAAGACAAAGGTGGACACGAGGGACCATGGGGAAGTGAAGGTTTTTTTTAGGCAAACGGCATGTCGTGCTCGGCGGTGGGTACTCTCGAGCATGACAAAGAGAGGAGAGAGAAGGAAAAGAGAGAAAGAGAGAAGAAGAGAGAGAAAGAGAGAAGACGGAGAAGAGAAAGGAAAGAAGAGAGAGGAGAGAAGAGAGAAAGAAAGAGAGAAAAGAGAAGCAAGGGAAGACAGAAAGAAAAATTACTTTAAGCCCGGGGGTATTGGCCCAAAAATTTCTCTCCTTCCTCTTTTTCCAAAACGTGATCCAACCATGAGTAAAGATGGAAATTTTATTCAATCAAAGTGGGTCTTTTACATTAAGGTATAACATGATATATATAGAGGTGGGCCCAAAACACAGGTGGATGCCCAAAATTTACCCTAATTGCTAAAAACTACTATTTATTTGAATTAAAAGAAAATCTAAAAATGGGTGAAAAATGACGATTTTTGCCCTGCCCAACAATAATCAAAATTTCAAAACAGTCCCTGTCTTTGCCATAGAACGTGTGCAATCTTTCAAGGCTGATCGGGATTGCTCCGGCGCTCGTTTGGTCAAAAGATGATTGTTTTCTCGTTGGGCTCGGAATGACGATTGATTTGATACTTATTTCGAACCACGAATCGCGTTTTTAGGCCATGATCATGTGACGCGAAAATTGTAAGAAACTTGAAAACTTCGGATCAATATTGCGTTCGTTTCTTGACAGATGTTCATGATTCTTCACTGAATTGTATTGAGCATGCCGTCACAATAGTTTTGCAACAAACGCAGCTCGATTTTGTGCCCAAACGAGGATTTTTCACTTTTGGGTTTTTGGCCAGAATTTGGATTCCAGCGACCGGAAGTTTTCTGCAACTTTAATGCCGTCGTACATCAAATCTAACAATTCATCACGTGCGAGGTTTGACCCAGATGTAACCTCGGACCTTAGGCACGCAATGCAACTGATTTCGCGTGGATCCGTT